GGAAGTTTCCGAAACGTCAGCACCAATACAGTGTGGTCCATGGCATCGCCTCTTTTTCTTCTTCGTCTTCTTTTGGGGATGATGAACGGGATAATTTATCTGGACCTCGAATCTTCACTCATGTTGATATATATATATATATTTGAACATAGAAGGGCATCGAAAAATTATTGGGAAAAATTCAGGTCGAATCTTATTTCGCAGCCGCACCTGCGGTGCACAAGCCCTAGGCTACTGTCATACGGGACTGGCGGTAATAGGGAGTTTAACACTGACCCCCTAACCCCTTACTATAACCCTAACAGGTGCAGCTACCAAAAAGGATCTTAACAAAATTCATACCACATAAGTAGTCAATTTTTTACGATGTGTAGTTTTCACTGGCCCCTGGCAAGAAGTGTACTTGTAAGTCGGCACCCTGATATGTCTAAAACATCTTGGAATTATACTGCATGGCAAGTAAAAATACAAACCTTCTCATGTAGACCGCTTCAATCAAAAACGCGTTTCACGATTTCGGTAAACATTTTGTGAGATGGTCCATCAGCTGTACATAACCAGATCTAAGAAATTGGTTATTTTCAGGAAAACGGACGGTCAGCAGCCATTCGAAGCAGGAATAGTAATTTCCTTCGGACACTTACTGTATATTATAGGCTAAAAATTAGAGAAGAATTTTAGCAAAACTTTTTAACATTATTATTAGAAAGGAATGGCGGCTTTGTTTACCCGATGCAAGTTGCCTGTGCTGAAGAGCAGTACTGACAGCATCCGGGCGAGGTCCCCTCTTAAGAAGCCACAAACGCCCCCATCTGCATGTACTTGGGGATACTTTGAGATTAGATGCCTTTTATCTGTCAGAATCAGAAGGCGTATGGTTACAGGGTAAACCTGCAGAATAGCCTGTTCTCCTGGACAGATGATAATGGATCTGGTGAGCGAGGGCCACTCTGGACGGGCAGATACAGATAGTCCTGCTTCTTTGCTTTCATGGGCCATAAAGCAACACGCTGACTTTAAGCTGAACATATCTGGAGAAATAAGGGCAAAGTTAATTTTGGAAGCAAATGATTATTAAAATTCCCGGTTTGTGGACAGGAATGATGAATGAGGACAGCGTTTCTGAGAATGGACATTTCATTTCGATCAGATGTGGTTATCTAGCCCCAAGTGAAGGAAAAAAACAACCTAGTGGCCTGTAATGCGAGATCGTTAGTAATAGCGGTTTTTACAGCTGGGGCCGGGGAACGTATAGGCGACGAGGTCAAGTAATGGGATGCAAAACAACGGTTATTGGGAATGCACGGCTGTACTTTGGGTGGTTGAGAAATAGTTATCCTAACCCCTAACCCTAGCCATAACCTTAATCTCTAAGCCTAACTTCCAACTCTAATCCCCAACCCCAACCCCAACACTATTGTGCAAATCAGGTGGGGCCATAGAACCAAATCTTACTTTTACGACTTTTATTAAATAATCTGATTTTCACAGGTGGAATTAAC